ACTGGTAAACAAATACGAATTTAGCAGGTATACGACTATGGAATCCATCGCTATTATCGATTCGCATTGGCCACTCGACTTTTTATGGCGATAATACCATTGCCTATAGTGGTTTCCACTATAAATTATTTGTCAAGATAAATATTAAGAAACACGCGGACGGGGTATAGATTTACAGCTACCATTTGATTTGATAATGTCAAAGTTATTTATGTCATCCATCGTCTTTTATATATTTTTGCGTGTGTGTGTTTTTTAAATATTTTCTTATCGATTAAAGTTCCAATATGGGGAAAAAATTTTAATAGCAATTAACTGTAACTGGTTAATAGAGCTTGTTGATAAAAATAGGAAAAAGAAGAGAATATTTTATTAAAATTGAACGATCGACTCTTTTAAAGAATTCGTGAGTTCTATTAATTTAGTTTTCTAAAAAGCGTAATTTTCTAAATATGATATTTGTAAAAATATCATACTCTTTGATTTTAATTTTTCAACCTATCGAAATATTTAAGAAAAAAATTTTCAACACACATCTAAATTTTCATAATTTCTATCTTTTCCTCTTTTTAAGTTTCCAACGTATCAAATTTCGTTCCGTTTTCGAACATCGAACAATGGAAGATCAAATAAAAAAAAAAGAAAAGAATCAAAAATCCATATATACGAATTGCCTTCGATCTCGACCCTCCTTCCACCGATCGTTTGTCTAATTTGAAAACAAAACAACGAGAAGATAACGACGTTCTTTGCCGACAAATATCACGAAAAAAGAAGAAGCGAGCAGACCGGATCGAAAATAGACGTCTCGCGACGAAGGCGAAACAAGCACGCGCGGAATTTATTTGAAGAGAGGCGCGTGTTTGCGCGCGTGCGAGGTGCACGTGTGCGCAAGCGCACGATCCCGCGATTGCGCGTGCGTGCGTGCGTGCATAGAAACGTTCGATCGCGCATGCGCGGTGCCGGCACGCACACCGCGGCGAAACTGAACGACCGACCGACAGAAAATCTTGTGAATGAGTTGCTTCTCCATTCACTTTTAACCGGACTCGCTGGAATGCGCACACGACACTATGTTGCGCTCTGCTGGAGGTAGACGGACACGTTTTTAGATTAATTCGTGTATTTTTATCGATACCCTGACACGAAAAATTGTTTCAAATGAAAATCAAACGTAGAAACGTGCCACCATTCCTTTAAATGTGACATCACGCTATTAAATTTGATAAAATAGTTAGTTATGTGCATTACGTAAGTATAATAAGTATCTTCCCAACTTATTTGCGTTTTCTTATCTTATATTCTTTTGTCCACATCTTTTCATCAAAGTTATTTACAATCGATTTTTCACATGGATCTATATATAAATATCGCGTTACGTTCAGATTTATATATTATGTACGTGACTAATATCGTTATAATCGATAAGCAAAATTATCACTCGATAATCTACAATTTTATCGAAGAAAAATATACTTTTAATTTGATGATATTATAATATCTAATTATTTGTAGAAAAACTTATCACAAATGTTCACAAATTTCTAAATGTTAAATAATAAAATTTTGAAATGATTGATCTAAACTGACTGATAATTTATTTCATTTTCTTGGCAAAATTTTCTATATCCATCAAACAAGATAAACAATTCCTTATCTAACATCACAATACACTACTGCGAATTATTTACTCAAAATCAAAATAAAAGGAAAACGTCTCTAATCGAGATTACATTACATACATATATCGCAACTACCCAACGAGTTTATTCTTATTACATTCGAAAAATATCGTTTGATTCCTCATCACTGTGCGTTTACCAACAACGCAAACTTTCCCTCTGGCCGCGCAAATATTTTCATCGCCATTGTTTACGCGCTCACGGATTGCCTACTAGTTTTCTTAACCGCCTTATTTGCATTCCCGGAACCTGTGTATCAAGACATAATATGCAAATGCCCCGTCCCTCTGTGTCTCTCTCTCTATCGGCCATCTCCCGTTGCAGAGCATCCATCTTCGTAAAGACGTCTACTTACTTTGCCCACCCGGCGCCTCCTTTCTTCTTATTACCGCTATTTATTATAATTTTCGCTCTCCGTTTTCATTCCATTAATCTCTTCCGCTTTCTCTATTGTGCCCGTAATCCGACGCGAATCCTTCTACGCTGGTTAGGCGTCGAACGAAATCGAACTTTAATTTTAGATAAAATTTTAAAATAAAAGAAATCCAAAAAAAAGATAGAGATAAATGAATCTTGGAAAAAAAAAAACAACTGATAAAATAAATAAAAGAAACTGTATACATTTCTTTGAGAATTATTAAATTTTCCGCAATTTTGAAAGTTTGAAATTTCGATTTCCGATTGAAAATTCACGAATCATCGGATAGAATCACTCAAGAGTACGTACATTCCAATCGTTCCAACATTCGGCAGATTACCAAATACGCGTCAGTTATTCATCATTCGTTTAGAATCACGTTTTACACGGGGTTAACCAGCTTTCGAAAGATCCTCTCGTTCCCCGATTATCGCAAAAGTGCATCTGGCAAGTATATTCGAGAGTATATCGAATTATCGGTCGAGTATCTCTCACGTTTTGTTCGCGCAACAAGAACCTTTGTCCTCTTGATTTGCAAAACGCGTCGAACAACTTCGAGAATCGAACTTCGCGTATGGAACTGAATAAATCTAATCGTCGGACGATTTGAACGATCACGGAGGATGCGTCACAATGATATCGAGGATAACCTCATTAAATGAATTCGCCTACTACTGGAACAACGATGTTTTTTTTTTATGAACAGTGACACATGCATCTTTTGTTTAAAAATATACAAGCACACACGATAGTTTTACATTATTTTTGTTAGAGCTTTTGAAATTATCTTTTAAAATTATTTTTTCATTTTTCATTTAAATATATAGGCACGATAATACTCATGAGTACTATTGTGTTTTCAAAATATAAGTAGGAAATTAAATTCGTCCCTGAAGAAATTAAGAAATAAGATTAAAGAGCAACGACTTTTTTTTTACGACTTAACTTCCTTTTTTTTTTTTTTATTCCTTTTTATTCATGATTTAAATGTGCGATAAGTTTGATTAACGGAAGAACTTTTATAAAACAAATTTTAAAATAATAATAAAAGTTGAAAAAGGTATAAAATATAGGGGGAAACTTGAAAAATCCGAACTCTAGTAAATTTTAATAATTGCATTGTCTGTATTCATGAAGAAGAGGAATGAGGAAAAAAAAAAAAAGAAAGAAAAAACAAGACACGAATAAATTACAAAATAAGAGAAGATCGATCAATTTCCAAGGAAAAGTACGATTATAAAACCACGGACAAAGATAAATTATCCCATAATAAAAGATAGATATAGATTGTTTACAATGAAACACAAGCCTAGATCGCATTATCGATACAATGTATCGCAGCCAGAGAGACAAAGCACACGACAATTCCATACGAGAATCCACGATTTATCTATCCAAGCTGCAAAGATCATCGCTGCATCATTGCAAAGAAGTGTCATTACGTGCGGGATTTATTTGTTCGCCTAGCCATACATTGATACGTTAATCGCCTCATTTGCCTTTTAAGCGTGTTTTTAAACGCGCTAAGGACAGGTGAGTCAGCGTCGCGCTCTTGGAAAATTTATTAAGACTTTTAAGGTAAAGCAACTTAAAAATAGACGTCAATAACAATTTTTCAAAGGATATGTAATGTTAACATAACATAAATCGCTATTACAGTGATTATTAGGCATGCTGAATAATTTTGTTCTTATTCTTTTTTTCTATTATGAAATATTTCCTCGTTAATTATTGCATTCTTTTGGTCTCTATTTGTTATTCGATCAAATAGGCGATTTCGAAAGAAATATTGCATTACGTATCGATAACGTATCGATAGAGATTTTCATATTATCCCCAAAAAATAATCGGATAATTAACGAACTGTATGTTTAAATGCTAATACAGAATGATCGTTCGCATTTAAATAAAGCCAAAGATAATATTAATAATGATATCGAAAAAAATAATGGAATATCAAGTATATATAAATAATAACGCGGTAAATAAAAATAAAATAAAGAAACGATTTTGAAATAACTTTAAATACCCGCGATTAGATTAAGACCATGCTTTTCAAATCTTCTCTTAATCTCATTTCCAATGGATAATTTGAATTAATTTGAGGCCACTATTGAAAACAAAGTTTACGTTTCTGATTAAGAAAAATTATCTCAATGTTAAAACAAGCAACGCTCGATTGATTGTTTGACGAGCAATCACGAATAACCACAAAGATAAACATTTGCCGCGTTAAATCAATAAAAATATTGTTTGACAGAGGCATCTTCGCGGCTTTTTCGATGGCCACGTTAAAAAGATCGCGTGTATATTATGTGTATTTAAAAGCGTAAACGTCATCGAAACTTCTTATCGTGCATTTCTTCTTGCGGCTTCCGAGATAATTGAAAAATCGCTGACCTGTCCTCTGACACTATGAAATCACGCTTGATCTATCAAAATTTTGATAATCTACGAATATACAATTATATTCAATTACGTCCAAAAAATTATATTAAACATACATTCATTTCGTATCTTATCACTACGATCGAGATCGAAAAAATCTTTAATTTTATTTCTACATCGATTATCTGACAACTACAAGAGAAGAAAATTCACGAAATAACAAAAATCATTCTCATACTTGATTTAAAATCGTCATTAATAATAATATTCAACGATCGATTACGATTAATCAAATGCACGATAAAATCAGATGTACGATAGACCGTTATGCGTCAAACGTTCGAGTAAAAAACGCGGGACAAAAAACTAAAGCGCAATAACAGTTCAAATAAATCAATATACATTAGATATTTTCTTCACTCACCTCTCTCACGTGTCTTAAAGAAAACCCTTTTTCACGTATCCCTGACAGGCACACGCAACGACGAGTGTCGCATCGACGAACGATTTAATCTTAAAATCGTTTCGATCTGTGGCGCACAAGACTGTCAGTTTTCATCAAAGACGACAATGAACGTATCGTCTCGGGTTGTCGCGTGTTACACGATCGATTCACCGGACATTTGCGGACTGACAGTTCTCACTTCGATACGGTACGATGTCACCGAAACAAAAGCTCGATAAATATGGAATAGAGGATGAAACGTTCGTAGTGTTTATGCAATTTTTTGTCGCGTCACGACGATTGTTTTCAATGCACGGTACCGTTCATACCTTTAGGGGTGCACCTATGCCCCATACTCACGCGTCGCGTCCCAACAAGAGACTAAAGCGCCTAGTTACAGTCCACCCGTATAAATGCTCCGTTGCAAACTACGTGACTGTGGTTGTACGTACACGTTTTGGAAAGGAATAGCGTCTCATGGCGAAAGGAATAGGCTATAATACAATAAACTAGCGAATATATCATTCTCTACCATATCGACGATTCTATCATTACCTACTTTATCCAAAATTCTATCATTAACTATTTTATCGACCCTTCTATTATTACCAGTTTTATCCATGATTCTATCGTTACCTACTTTAACGATTTTACTAAATACATTATACATAAATTCGAATAGATATTAAAAATAATTTAAAACAAAAATATAAGTAACTCGTTTCCTCGCAACAAATCATTTAAACATTATACTATCGTTTCTAAAATCTAACAATAATATAAATTTCGGAAAGCAAAGTTTCAAACAAATTTGGAAATCAATTCCATAATTTCAGTGAATTAGATAACAAGAAAGAAAATAAGAAAAACAAATAGTACTCTAAAACGAGGAAAGAAATGATCGTCGATTCCATCTCTTGACAATTGAAGAAAACATGTTTAAAAAACACAGATAAAGAAGGGTAAGAATTCAGAGTAAGTGCCATCTCCTGAGTAATAACGATAAACTCATGGACACAAATATCTTCTTAACAACGTTTGCGAGATGGCGCTAAAAAGCAATTCCTATCTCTAACTATTCTCGCATCCATCATATTCATGAGTAATTTTATTTAAATATCATTTCTTTATAAAATTATTCAAAATATGAAAAAACAATTCTCATAAATAACATTTAATACGTTGCAAATAACACAATGCAAGTGAAAGAAGAAGTAAGAGAGAAATCGTCATTGCCCACACAGAAAAATTAAATATATTAAACTTAATGAATGCTTCTGGGAACAAGCTAATAGATAATATTTCGCGATATCTAAAAGTCAAAACGAAGACCAATAGATTAAAAAATCTAAATAACCACGTAATCGCGTGCGCAGCCAATCAGCTCATATTATTGGCTATAAAATTTACAACCGTATCTGTGATACGATTATGAATAATATAGTAAATAATAATGATTTCCCAGGTCTCACCGCGTGGAGGTTGCTGCGAATTGGAGACCCACCCTATCCACGATCCCATCCACCCTCCTTTACGTAAAAATTTATTTCAAATGTATACAAGGATAAACCTTCCTTTTGACGTAGAATTGCAG